GGGCAAACGTGAGGGAGGAGAGGCTGTGCAAAGAATGCTTTGTGCCTGGGAAGTGTCGTGTCACTCTACTAGGGCAGAGTGCTCTGTTTAGGTAATTGGCAGTGACGAGCTTGGGGGCACCAGCTGAACTGGAAACATACTGATCGTGTTTCCTCTCGGTGCGTGTTGGCACATGCTGCAGTGCTGTGCAGCGCTGTCGCAGCGGGGATGTGGGTCCTGCAGCAATAAGGTTTGCATCCACGAAATGCGTATTAACAAAGCGTTTTATGTTTTGTTCTTGTGATGGTAGTCCCTAGAGGGCAGTGAGATGGTGGGCCCCTTTGTTTTTCTCCTGCAGCTTCATTTTGCGATGCAGTTTGGTTGCACAGCAGCAAGAACTGCTTTGAACACAAAAGAAAGTCTCAAGCCTGTGTGGCTGGGACTGTCCTCACAAGGATGAGTCTCCTGACAGCTGTCTCGTGTAGAACTCTACTTCGGAGGAGTGTGAGTGGCGCCTGGAGCTGCGTGGGGGGTCCCCCTGGGGCACAGGCCACTGCAAGGGGCCTTGCGCCTTTCCTGTGGCGTAGTGCGGCAGTGGTGTTTGAGGGTGAGTGGATGTATGTGTGCGTGCATGTGAGAGTCTGCTAATGCAGGAGCATGTAGATTCCCCTGGAGTTGCGGGGTTTTCTCTGATGGGGACAAGGCTACCAGATGTGGCCTGAAATGTGACAGCTGGGGGATTTAGCAGCCTCTTCTGAGCCTTTCCATCCTTCAGGGAAGCGTTTTTCCATGCTTCTTTTGCTACTTGTGACTTAGTCCACCTAAAACACGCTTCTGGTTGGACCAGATGACATCTTCAGAAACTCCTTTGTGACAGAAATTAGTAGAATAATCTACCAAAGGCTTTGAAATTGGAAGCTAATTTAGAAGTGTGATTGGCAGCAGTGAGGTGCTGCACGCATCCTTTTGAGTGGGTGTCAGAGTTTAACCTCTCTGCTGCTTTCTCTTTTCTCTTCACAGCTACTCTTGGTGTGTTCTAGGAAAAGCAATGTGTTCCAAGTTTGTGCTGACTTTTAGGTGCATTGGGTTTGCCGTTACCCTCTTGTACGTGCATCAGGCAGGCTGCGATTTGGATGAAACTAATTAGAGCTTGTAATGAGGCAAGAGCAGCGTGATTCTGTGAACGCACAGGCTGCTGCACCACAGACTGTGCATCCCACCCAGTCGTGTTGTACAGATGTGTGCTTTTGTTTAATTGTTGGTCTGCTTTCCGGGGTGTTCCATGCTGCGTGTATCTGATACGTTTCACAGTGGACATTTGCATCATCCCCAGTGTTGTGTAATCAAATGTTGTACTGCTGGGGTGGTCGTTAACATGCTTGGATGGGAGGAGATCTGTGAGCAGCTGGCAAGAGAAGGCAGTCGCAGCAAAGCCCTGAGATTCCTCGGTGCCAGAGAATTTTCTGTCCTTCTCCCCTTGTTGCTCCAGCATTTAGCATATTCACAGTAACGTTTTTAATAAAGGGGGGAGTTTCCACCATTGTAGATCTGGTTGGATTCCCAGAAAGGGGCATATTCTGTTAATACGCTGGAGCCTCTGAGAACAGTGTGCCCTCCCTCTGCAAAATCTGCATTTCACGAACCCCTTTAATTATCAGTCAGAGAGCAAAACTGCACTGCTCTGGGTCGTTCTGTGTTAAAGGTTTTGCTGTTTTGTGGCTTGTGGGGATTTACTTGGTTACTTAACAGTTTCTAGATGGGTGCAGAAGCTTAAACATGTAGAATGGGTCTAATTACCAACATCGGTAGCTCTAATCGCCAAGCAGTGACCCAAGCAAGCAGACTTGGCGTGCAGCTGAAGGCTGTAGAAGTTGCTTTTCATGCTTGTAGATGGTAGAGGGATGGAAAATCAGCACTGTTTAAATGCTGGTACTGAATTACATAGAACAAAGTACGAATTGGGCACTTCTGTAATGCTGACCGTGTCCAGAAAGACTAGTTCGCAGAACCTCATACTGGTATCTAAAATGCACTTTAGGTTATTTTTTCTTTAACCCAATTGCTGCAATTTCTTTTGTATATACTTTCACAAAGTTTATTTTTGCTCTGAGTAAAAGTTAACAGGGGTGTGCAAAGATGAGCACTTAACTTGGTGCAATACTTGTAGCTAAAGATCATTGTCCCATGTGGTCAGTCTGTCTGTGTCTGTCTAACTGAATATATATATATAGTAACTAGCTCAGTGACATACTGCCCTTCCCTGTCTATACCCAAGAGAAATTATGCATCACTAGCAAACGTCCAATCTATGCAAATATTCCACTGAGAGCACTGTGCTTTAGCAGGCCTTTTCTCTCACGCTTTCTGGTGGGCTGCTTGTCACTTCTGTTGGACATGACTGTGTTCCTTGGTGTATATCCTTTCTCCCTTGTCCTCTGCTCTGTTCTGCCACACGAGTATGAACAGAAGTGACAAGCTGTTCTGAAACAGGCATGTTGCACCTTTAAAATTTGTCTTCACGAGATCGTTTTTGATGTCATGTTATCTGCCTTACTTTGTGGAGGATGGCGCTTCTGCAGTCATCCAAGATACTGTTTTTGCAACTGCAGCAACACTGTTAAACTGTTTACAGTACTCTTCCTGCACCAATTATAAATAAGGCTCGGAGAACGAACGACTGGCCTGTTGGTTGTGGAACTGCTGGGGGAGAGTAGTTAAGGCGTAATTGACCTTGGAGCTGATTGGAGACGAAAAGCTGTTCCTGATCTGGGGGCTGGGGGGGAAGCACAGCTAGTGACTGAAATGAGAGACAGCCAGGTCTGTGATGTAGACCAGATGGGATCTTGGTGTCACATCCTTTGTTCTGCTGCTGGCTGGCTGTGAGACCTTGGGCAAATCACCTAACCTCTCCGTGCCTCGGTTTCCTCCCTGTGAAATGAGGACAATGAAACTTGTCTTTGTAAAATGCTTTGAGATCTATGGGTGAAAAGTCCTTGGCATTAGTGATCTGACCCAGCTGGGCAGAACTGTTAGAGTCAATTTGGACTGTAAGGCAAAAAAAAAAAAGCATGTCTTTTAATAAACCCTACAAATTTCTGATTGCATAGTTTTTAATTGGTACACTATTTTTTCCGTAACATATTTTGGAAACAATGTCAAGTTTTTATAAATGTTACCTGTAGTTGATACTCATGGACAGGGCTGAACTTTTAACTTTTTTGCGTCTTGTCTTGGTATATATCATATGTTCTAGAAGTTGGATTCTGTGTCTGCACTGAGAAATGCAAATTAAACTGGATATTTATGTAGTAGTGTACATAGTCTAAGTGTGTGTGTTCTTGGAACTAGTTTAAAAATCCCACACCATGCTTTTGGTGGTGTGCAAGCTGGCCAAAATTTGGTTCATTATGCAGTGTACACTTTCTCAAATAAATGCAGTTTCTACTTTTTCTTACAAGAAATTTTTTTCATATGATCTTTTTCAGCAAAATCAAGGGTATGTTTCTGCAGTACCGTAGTTACAGTAGCTGGTATTTCTTGCTGTGTAGCTTTGTGTCCTTCCACTTGCTTACTGAACCGGAGCTATCCGTCTGACCCTTGTTTGGAGAGAGAGTTGTAGTTGCAGTTCTATTTCACACAGACCAGCATCAGCGCGGTGGGCAGGGATGCGCAAACCTTGAGCCTGGTTAGTTACCGAAGCAGTCTTCAGCATCGACAGCTCCCTAATTGTCAAACCAGGAGGTCTAGGAGAACCACAGGTTGTCTGCTTACTGCTTTTGTTTTGTTTGGCACGTACGGGGAGCTGGGCAATGGTCTTGGAGATGACAGAATAAAAGAACCCCAGTTTTTCAAGAATGTGTGTATGGTATTAAAGGAATTTATTTAACTATGAAACATGGGAACAAATGTGCTTACATTGAGCAATGTGAATATGTTAGTTACAGGTACAGTACTTCCAAAGGAAGAGCATCTCCAAAACCCAAAAAAAGAGTAAATATGAATTTGTATTTTTTTGAAGAATGTAAAATGTGAAATAATGGTGTTTGCTTAATTGCTCATTTTGTATGAAGTTAATATTGTACTTTGAAATATCTGCAAAGAAGTGGAAATTAACTTTTTTGGAATTGAAAGCAATATTAATACTAATGGAATCCTAATTAAATGCTTATTTAAACATTGTGTTATGATAGTCTTTCCTCAGAGTATTTATAAATTATTTGGGAGAAGATGTGAGGATCCTTCCCCTGCCCCCTTAGGACAGATCAGGGCATGAAGGGGTTTTCAAATCCTGACAGACAACAGCATTTGCCTTAGCAGGCTCCTCCCGCCCCCACCAACAATGACTTTCATAAACTTCATATCCTCAAGTTCACTCGGGTATGGATAAGAGTTAGAGTGGATGTTGTGAATCTGCAAATTACTCTTCATTTTTGAAAATGGGAAATGCGTGCGTAGTCCCTTTCATGCAAACACCAGCTGTGTTCAATGCAGGTGCCATGATGTCAAGCACCAGCAAGGCACCGTAAGCCAGCTGAAGCTGCAGGGGAAGTGAGAAAGGTACTAAAACTACCATCTTTACCACAGGAAATTTTGCCTAAAGCCTTCAAAGCGGGTATGCTAAGTACTTTCCAATAAAGAGAATGGGAACTTTGTGGAAAGCTAGTGGCAATAAGGAAAATAGACTGAAATCTCCACTCTGAATAAGTCAAGCTCTCAATGTAGCAAAACACTTCCATGTGGCAAAAACCCCACCCCCAAACGTCTAGGCTCGGCCAGCTGTAGTTTGTTCATACCCTCGGATCATGCATCCATGACTTCAGGATTGTAGTTATCAGTGGAGACCGAGTTGCTGCCCACAGAACAATGCACGGCTTTTGTGCTTCGCCAGCCCTTCTAAAATCAAGGCAGTTGATAGCTGGTCCTGACCCTGTTGGCAGTCAAGGACAGAGTCAACGCTTGAGACAACCTGGTGCAATCTGTTTGAAGGCTGTACCTCCTTCAGTAAGAAGCAGCTAACCTCTATGCGGGCAGAGGGGATGAGGTACAGACTAAGCCAATATTGTTTTATTTTAAAGTGCAAATTTAGTAAGATAAGGTATCAGTGCAAGAGAAGAAAGCAAAGTCCGAGGCCACAACTGAGGACATCGGCTGTATTCGCCGACTTATCAGTCTCTGGGTGTTCCCCTGGCGCAGAAGTAAGGCTTCTTCGGCGCCCGTAACTGAGCAAAGCCCTCGGTCCCTTCTGGCTCTGCGCTGCCACGCCCGGACCGCGGCCCCCCCTGCAGCCGTTCCCGGGCGG